GAGAGAGAGAGAGAGAGAGAGAGAGAGAGAGAGAGAGAGAGAGAGAGCTGTGTCAGCCAAGGATGGTAGTATGCATTCCTTTCCTCTTTAATGCCAGCAACAAAGTTTACTAGACATGAAAAAGCTGAGTTCTAGGCTAGACTAAGAAACAACGCCAAAAGGCTGGGAGCAGCACCATGCATGGTCTGTGCAACACTGGATTCCCAGCACTTCAAACAAAAGAAATCAACAAACTCAAAGAAAATCAAAAGCCAAAACCCAAAAAACACAACTCCCAAAATGTAGATTTAAATTAGTAAACTTTGAATGAAAAAAAAAGTATTTTTTAAAAATTTTTATCACCAAATAAACATTAGGGAAACCAAGTGATAAACTTCTAAGAATGATTTATTAAAGAAGAATTTATATATTTTTACTTCCTGTGTATGATAGTATGCCTGCTTTTCTGTGTCATACATGAATGTAGTAGCCAGCAGAGGCTAGAATCTGTGCATGGTATCCTCTGGGACTATGGTTAAGGTAGTATGAGCCATCTAATGTGGGTGCTTGGAATGGAGCCACATCTTCTAGAGAACAGCAAGTATTCTTTCCTGCTGACCCACTTCTCTAGTCCCCAGAGATGGCATTTTCATGTATTGTCAGTATTTACACCAAATGAACATGGAAATCTGGAATATATTATTTAAAAGACATGGGGTACCATTATGAGCAACACACAGAGAAATTGCTCACTCTGCCATCTTTGATGCCTTAATTTCCTAAGCTGGTCCTTTCCCTTCCCTTGGGTTTGGCCAGTTTTACTTTTGAACTGTGTTTATTGTGTGCAATGGCCTTCTGTTTTTTGCTAACCTTGTCTGGCTGACTTTCCTTCTTAACTTTACTTTCTTCCTAGCAGCTGAAGACTCCCACTTTCTCATCGGATCACCTCATGGTCATAATGACACTGATTTTTTTCAAGCACAATGCTGTTCCTGGATTTTCCTGTCCTATCTGACCTCCATCTTTGTACATACTCAGATTTTCTTCTGAATATTCACATCAGACATATTCTACTTGCAATAGCTGTATCAAGCCCTTTAAGACTAACTTTTAATAACCATAGATACTTACAAACAATCTAAAATGGCCAAGAACAGGAGAATGATCCATTTGATCATGTTATTCTCTGAAGGTATTATTCTCTGTAGGCTCTTCAGAATGATACTGAACTAGACATTTAGTTCCAGGAGAAGACAGCCTTGATTAATTAAGAAAAAGTGTGAATATAAGATAACAGATAAAGTGTGACTCAGTTTTCCCATAGGTAAGATAGAATAGATTAAAGGGTATACACAATTTTTCCTTTCTGCTGTAGATCAAAGTCACACGGTCTTGTGATTGCTAGATGTGGTATTTTGAATGAGATGTCACCTTGAATCATTTGAATAGTTTGTTGAACTCATGGTACTCTTTAGGGAGGCTTAGGAGGTGTTGGTTTGTGTCAGGATAGGTGACTGAGCACAGACTTTAAGATTTCAAAGCCTTGTCACTTTCTGTTTCCTGTGCTTCGTTTTCCAGACCACTACTCTGCTTACATTTTCAGAAGCCTGAAGGCATCAGGGACAACCAGGTAAAACCCAGCCCTCCAAAAATCATTAGCCTGCCAAATATCCTAAAGTATATCCAAGAGTGGCAAACTTCATCTATTTCCCTGTGCCACATTATCAGGCCTACTACTCTGCCTTCATTCACAAAGCTTGGAGGTACCACAGATAACCCACTCCAAGCCCTTTTCAGCCATGTTCCCTTAAATTACACCCAACACTCGTAAACTGTATCCTCCCCCTGGACTCAATTTCAGGGCACCCAATTCTATCTGTTTTCCCAAAGGCCCCCATGGCACCAGGAATCCTGGACACTGGCACTATGGACCCCAGAAGCAAGGAGAGCTCCTGAAACTCCAGATGCTATGCAGGCCACAAAAACTTCAGGGATGACACCTTACTGGAACTGAAGAGTTGCTATTCACCAGAACTCCAGGCCACTAGGGTAGAAGACAGAGAGGAAACACAAACCAAGGGAAAGTGGTATAACATTTGAAATATGAAGAAATAAAATATCCAATAAAAATGTAAAAAAATCCACTCAACAAAGATAATGTCAGAAATCAATACCTAAGACTATATTAATGGCAAAAGTCAGAGGGCTAGTGGCCAGCATAAGAAAACTGTCAACAAGAACTGGGGCAATATGACACCACCAGAGCACAGCTATCTACGTATAGCAATTCCTGGATACCCTAACATAGCTGAAGCACCAGAAAATGATCTAAAATCTAACCTTATGAAGATGATAGAATCCCTTAAATAAGAAATGAATAAATCCTTATAAATATGGAAAATACAGGGAAAAGAAAAAACAGGGAAAGAAAATGAATAACATTTTTCAAGACCTGAAGGTTGAAATAGAAGCAATAAAGAAAACACAAACTGAATGAATCCTGGAGATAGAAAACCTAGGTAAGAGAACAGAAGGTATGCATGCAAGCATCACCAAGAGAATACAAGACAGAGAAGACTCTCAGGAGTAGAATATACCATAGAAAAAAATCGGTTCTTAGGTCAAAGAAAAAATTAAATCAACAAAGTTTCTGACACAAAGCATCCAGAAAATTTGGGATGCTATGAAAAGACCAAACATAAGAGTAATAGGAAAAGAAGAATGAGAAGATTCTCATCTGAAAGGCCCAGAAATAAGTCTTAACAAAATCATAGAAGAACAAGTTTCTAACCTAAAGGAATAAATGCTTGTAAGACTATAAGAAGCTTATGGAACACTAAATAAATTAAAGCAAAAAGAAAATCCTCCTGCCACATAATAATCAAAACACTAAATATACAGAAAAAAGAAACATTATGAAAAGCTGCAAGGGAAAAAGGCCAAGTAACATATAAAGAACATATAAAGAATTAATCAGACTTATCAACAGAGACTGCAAAAGCAGATGGGCCTGGCAGATGTCTTGCAGACTCTAAGAGACCACGATGCCAGCCCAGACTGCTATACGAAGCCAAACTTGCAATCACCATAGATGGAGAATACAAGATGCTCCACTCTGAGACTGAATTTAAACAGTATCCATCCACAAACCAAGCCCTACAGAAGATAGTATGAGGAAAACTCCAACATAAGATTAACTATATCCAAGAAAACATAGGAAATAAATAATTTCACACCAGCAAAACCAAAAAAAACACACACACAGACACACAGACACACAGACACAGACACAGACACACACACAGACACACACACAGACACACACACACACACACACACACACACCATTACCAACATCAAAATAAAGGGAATTAAACATCATTGGTCTTTAATATCTTTCCTTTCCCCAATAAAAAGACACATACTATGAGAATAGATTTGAAAACAAGATCCATCATTTTGCTTCATGCAAGAAACACACTTCAAGATCACAAGTAGACATTATCTTAGAGTTAAGGGCTGGGACAAGATTTCTAAGCAAATGGACCCAAGAAAGAAAGTGTAGTAGCCTTTCTAATATCTAATAAAACAGACTTCCAACCAAAATTAGACAGAGAAGAACACTTTATACTCATCAAAGAGAAAATCCAATAAGATGCCACCTCAGTTATAAATATCGAATCCCTCAAATCCAAGGGCACCCACATTTATAAAAGAAACAGTACTAAAATTTAAATCACATATTAAACTCCACACATTAATAGTTCACAAGTTATTCAAACAGAAACTAAACAGAAACAACGGAACTAAGAGATGTTATGATTCAAGTGGACCTAACACTTATATACAAAACTTTTCTCCTTATCCAACTAACTAAAAGGCAGAGAGACTCTCCAAATTAACAAAATCAGAAATGAATTGAGGGACTTAACAACAGACACTGAGGAAATTTCAGTAATCATTAAGCCTTACTTCAAAAACCTGTATGACACAGGCTTCTAAATCTAAATGGGAAAAAATAAATAAAGAAAAACCAATCCAAAATACAGGATCAGATAGTTTTAGTACTGAATTCTACCAGACTTTCAAGAAGAGCTAATATCAATAGTCATCAAATAATTCCACAAAATATAGAAGAAACATTCCCAAACTCATTTTTAATGAGTCTACAGGCCCAAAGATACCTAATTCACATAAAGAATATACCAAGAATCTTCAGTCCATGTTCCCTTATGAACATTGAAGGAAAAATATTCAATAAAATATTTGCAAACCAAATCCTAGAAAACATCAAAAACATCGTCTACCATGATCAAGTAGGCCTCATCCCATGCACGTGGTTCAACATATGAACTTCTTCACCACAGAAATAAACTGAAGGGAAAAAA